CAGGAATCTGAGGGCGTTGAGGAATCTGAGGGTGTTTGAGGCATCTGAGGGTATTGAGGAATCTGAGGGTATTCAGGAATCTGAGGTATTCAGGAATCTGAGGGTATTGAGGAATCTGAGGGTATTGAGGAATCTGAGGGTTGTATTGAGGAATCTCAGGGTATTGAGGCATCTCAGGGTATTGAGCATCTCAGGTATTGAGGCATCTGAGGGTATTGAGGAATATGAGGGTATTGAGGAATTGAGTGCCTTTGCATTCAGGCCGTGTGGTCTTGCTGTTGTTGTCTCTGGCATATTAGGGTATTGAGGAATTTGAGTGCCTTTGCAGTTATAGGCCGTGTGGTCGTTGCTGTTGTTGTCTCCGGCATCTTAGGGTATTGAGGAATTGAGATGCCTTTGCAGTTAGGCCGTGTGGTCGTCTGTTGTTGTCTCCGGCATCTTAGGGTTTGAGGAATTTGAGATGCCTTTGCAGTTATAGGCCGTGTGGGTCGTTGCTGTTGTTGTCTCCGGCATCTTAGGGTATTGAGGAATTTGAGTCCTTGCAGTTATAGGCCGTGTGGTCGTTTGCTGTTGTTTTCTCGGGCATCTTAGGGTTTTGAGGCATCTGAGGTTTTGAGGAATCTGAGGGTATTGAGGAATCTGAGGGTATTGAGGAATCTGGGGTATTGAGGAATTTGAGTCGCCCTTGCAGTTATAGGCCGTGTGGTTGTTGCTGTTGTTTTCTCGGGCATCTGAGGGTATTGAGGCATCGGAGGGTATCCAGGCATCGGAGGGTATCCAGGCATCTGAGGTACAAGGGAATGGGGGAAAGTCGTTTTGGAAGCAGGAGGTGCTGCAGGAGGTGAGGCAGGAGGTGCGGCAGGGTTGGAACACCAGAGAGAGACTGGAATTCCTTGCCAACGCATCGGGAGTACATAACTTCCACCCTTTGGGAGAAACACATACAATTAGAAACAGCAAGGAATCACACAGACCTGTCAATTTTACAATCCACTGTACAAGGCAAAAGATTAATCTCAGCTATATTTTCTAAAATATGATGCAACATATTTGAATGTCGGTTCCCATCCAAAAACATAGTTAATCACTACATCTGAAAGCAAGCAAAAAACAACTCATTTGAAAAGCTGAAAACACATTTCGCTGAGACCAATATGATGCAGATTAAATTTGATTTGGCTCTCGTTACACCATTCATGACTATAACAATTCACAGCACTAGCCATCGTTTTTTTAAACTCACTCCTCACTCTTTAAATCAGTTTCACATTACCTCTTGAACCATGTTGCAGCCATCATAGGGAACCAACATTTCAAGTGCATGCGAGTTCCTCTGCATGCTGTAGCCACAGGTAGACGGGACCTGTGACAGAGGCATTGGAGGTGCATTTCCTGTGGGGTAAAAAAGTTCAGTTTTATATCATTGGTAGAGATAAATCAAGTCTACATTTAGGATATTATGGCTATTGATTACCTTGTTCTACCGCAAATTGTGATGCTCTGGTTCCACCGCTCTGAAACTTCAACTTGCCGAACCACACTGCAGTGAGGGCGACATGCTCTTCCATGCGAGTCTTTGGGACTGGCGACTTGTGTTGGGCTCATCCAGCCTGAAGGCCAATATAAATATATTTATTTTTTTTCAATAGTTTGTATACTTTAAAGAGAGCAAAACAATTCAAGCAAAATAACAAACCCTTCAATACGTAAATCAAAATCCTGACCCTTTTCAAAAGCTCTCCCGAAAACAATTGTCCCCTCTTGGAACCCATTTGTTGTATCGGCATCTTTTCTCCCTTCTCGTCTTTCTGTTTTCTTCAGACGATAACAGTCTATAGTTTGCGCAAAAACACGTCAGAATAACAGCTGCAGCCAGGTAAACACCAGTGCCTTTTCTCTTGCGTATCATCCTGTTGCACATGACTGCTGGTAATGTAGGAGATGAGATAACTTTCTTTGCCGCAACTATTTGAGCATCAGCAGGTGCTGTGACAACCAATACAGCTGTGATAGGTGCTCATAGGATTCCCATTCTGTAAAATCAAACTCACTGCAGGTGGAGAGCACTTGGCAATGAAGCATGAGACAGGGCTTTTAATACTGGCACTTATTACCACCAGGCAGCCAATCAACAAGGCAGGTGCAGCCTCAGCTATGCTTGCACCTGTGTTCAATTAGCTTGCAACAGGTGGGCCTCGTTAAGACTTGTCTAACGTCTACAAAGTAAGCCCTGTATATTGATCTTGTAGATCGGGGGTGCCCAATACGTCGATCGCAAAGGTAGTGTGGGTAGATCGCATGGCATTGAAGCGCAAAGGCGGCGCACCTTTATGCGCTTAAGAGGCGCTATTGGTGTAATTGCTCCAGTTTCTCCGCCGCTGTGAGGTTCCGGCGCTCGCAGTTCACTAGCACGGTTGGTTTCAAAGGCATACCAACTATTACAAATCCAATCCAATCCACCTTTATTTGTATAGCACATATTAAAAAAAGAGGGTTTACAAAAGTGCTTCACACCAAACATAACATTATAATAATATAACATTATAATAAAATATATATTACAATAATAGATGAAAGGCACACATGAGAAAAGATAAAAGGATAAAAAGCACACATAGGAATGAATACACGGTACATAAAGGCTATGGACATAATAAAAGCATACAAATCGATAAAAACATAGCTCAGACTGACTCAAAAGCGAGGGAAAAGAGGTGGGTCTTTAGGCGAGACTTCAAAGTTTGGAGGGTGGGGCGACAATTTGACATGGGGGGCAGGTCGATCCAGAGCCTGGGGGCTACCGCTGAGAAGGCTCGATATACAAACTGTTCAACCTACAGAGATGACAAAAAGTGTTCTTCCAAATACAAAAAGCCTCTGTATACGCTGTCTCGCAAACACCTTGGTTGGTTTTAGGGACTACCAGCAGCAGCTGAAGCAAAATAAAGTCACAAGAATGATAGAGACATAACAATACAGTATTTATTTGGGAATGGCTAATATACTTGTTGATGGCCAAACATTTCATAGAAGTAACACAACTCTGCTCACATTTCAGGGTTTTCTTTGACTTAGCCTACTTAAGAGGGAAATATCTTCAATATAAAATTATTTGTACGATAAGCTTCTTAACAATTACTATCATGTTTACACAACAGTAGACTAAATACAACTCATATGATGTAATTAGGACACTTATAAAATAGAAAAACATATTTTCTATATTGCTCCAATACTTTAAATGTAGATTAGAGAGTTGTGTTGATAAAAAACAAGAACAGCCAAAGAGAATGGAAAGAAAACATGGAAATATACCAATAATGTGTACACATCCTCAATGGCTAACCTATTGTATTTAAAATATGTTCTCACCTCAAGTATTCTTAATAGAAGACATTCCCCATTGTTATTTTCCCCAACTTGACAGGAAAGTGGAAAAAACGAGAAATTAATTATTTCCCCCAAATCTTTATTCACGAAGCGGTATACAAGTTGTATTCAAAAGTATACAAACAACTTTGCACAAGCTTGAGAATGCAAAGCCCATTAAGTCCTTTCAGAGTTCAAATAAAAATATCCCCCGATTCTTGGTTCTTCATAATTTTGTGTAATGTATCATACGGTTTGATTTCGATAAACCAATGAATGCAAGGGAAGAGTCTGACTATTTTGATTTGTTAATCTACATTGACCCACAATTATATGTATAATAATTAGGGCCGGGACTCGATTAAAAAAATTAATCTAATTAATTAGAGGCTTTGTAATTAATTAATCGAAATTAATCGCATTTTTAATCACATATAAATATTTGACCTGAGAACAGTGAGAAGCAATTTTTTTCACATGGATTTTAGTATATCATTAGGCGCATTCACACCGCAGTACTTTTCCCACAAAGGTTCATGAGAACTTAGTTCATGAGAACTCTTTGAACCTGGGGGTGGATTAGGCAAATGAAGACGCTGACGTCACTTCTTCTTCTTCTGCTTTGGGTTTACTGGCAGGCCGCAAACCACTTCACGGCGTATACTGCCGCCCAAAGTCCCCGGCCGGAAGTCCCCGGAGTTGGGGACTGGCTTCTACTGAAGCCTTCCGAGTAAATCGCCAGAACGCCGACACCTCCTCATCTCCACCGCTCCCATGTTTTATTTTGTGTTGCCATAAGTTAGTCTCTCTGCGTTTCTGCGCTGGGCTAATGCTAATAATGCTAATGCGAGGATATGGCGACAATGGCGGCTTCACAACACTTTTTGGGAGTTTTACGGGGCGTGGTTTGCAATCCGCCCAGCCAATCAGACATATAGCTCTCTTCTCACAAGAGAGCCGTACGAAAGTCCCTGCTCTCTAGCAGGGACTTTCGTGGGGTGAACTAATTTTAGTACCGGCTCTTTTTGGTGTGAACGCGATAAAAGAGGCTAACGTCCACGCTAGCTGCTATATGTTTTGCATTGAGGTGATACTTGAGGCTTGATGTGCTGCGGTGATATGCGAATTCCTTTTTGCATAATTTGCACACAACCGTGCTCTTATCGACGCTTCCATCCGTCCGTTTTTTAAAACAACATTTCCCACTGTTGTTCACTGTGGTTTGTTGTTGTCTGAAGTCATGAACGTTAGTTGGTGCTCCAGTATAATCGGTACGCCTGAAACTCATCCAGTGAGAAACGTTCCGCGGTGCAAAAATAAGTGCGATTAAAATGCGTTAATTTTTGTGTAATTAATTCATCTTAATTAACGCGTTAAAGTCCCGGCCCTAATAATAATGCTTTCCCTTATTTAGAAGACAACATCTCTTCACATCAAGGAAAGTCAATCAGACGGTAACGGGATGGTCAGTGTCCCAGCCTGACTTGGACCAGAGATGTCATTTCATGGTTAGATCCATAATTTGAAAGAAACAATACACAGGTGTTAAGGACACCCTGTATGATAAAAGGTTTTGCTTCTATCATTGTTGAAATTTCACTTGAATGGTTAAGGATCTCACCTGTAAAGTCATTTTTAGTTGTATAAAGGCTACTTTTATAATATAACATCTACATGTGTAGTTTGAACACTTATGACCTAGTGTTTGACCAAATATTTAGTAATGCTTACGCCAGTTTACAAAACCAAAAAGAGACAAATGCTGAAGGTTCAATGTTTTGCAGAACTGCCCAAAGTTGTAAATGCTCCATTTCAGAGTTGGTGTATGTAATGAGTGAAGCCAGCGTCCCTCACACAGCAGATGTTACTTATTTTAGGAAAGGACATGATGGAACTTTACCTTTGACTGAAATACGTTTTCAAAAAAACAACCATTGTTCACACAAGGAAAGCTAGTGTGAACACAAAATGTTCCAATTCAAAACCTAAGAAATGGTTGAGCAATGATGCCACCATGTGGACACAAAGCCACACTATGACAACACTTCAAATGCTAAACATTAATTACATTTATAAATGTAGGAATTTTAAAGTGTGCACTTTAAGTTTAAGCACAATTTTTCTGTTAAATTAAATGTCATTTTCTCAATATGGACTGTTCACTCATTCACAAACCAAATGAGACTTCTTGAAGAGCCTGGAATAAAGAGTCTCTTGGGTACTTGAAGGTTAACAAAAGCACAAACTGGAAAGCGTCTCTGTTCAAAACTTTTATTACAACTGTTTAAGTAAGGTAGCGTGGAGGAGGAAAAGGAGGCAGCATTGGTATGGCAAGTGAACATGGGGATGAAAAGGAGGACGGGGTGCCGGAGTGGGCGGGTGATCTGGTTTCACAGTGGTAGTTGGAGTGGTTGTCGGCTGAGTGGCTGGATATTGGGGATAGGGAGGGATCATAGGGTAAAGATGATAGTAAGGCATAGATGGTGGAAGCTGCAATGAGGGATTTGTAGCCTTTGGTTTAGTTGTAGTTGGTGTTGTCGCCGCAGTAGGTTTTGGCTTTGTAGCTGGATATTTGGGAGGATAAAGAGGATTAAGGGAGGATACATCGGCATATATTGTGGAAACGGCATTTGAGCGTATTGAGTCATCTGAGTATTTGAGGCATCCGAGGGTTTTGAGGTACATGAGGCAGTGCAGGAATTTTAGGAATTTGAGTCGCCTTTGCAGTTTTAGGCTTTGTGGTCGTTGCTGTTGTTGTCTCCGGCATCTTAGGGTATTCAGGCATCGGCTAATTATATAGGAATTGTAGTCACCTTTGCAGTTCTAGGCCGTGTGGTCGTTGTCTCGGACATCTTAGGGTTTTGAGGCATCTGAGGGCATTCAGGAATCTGAGGGTATTCAGGAATCTGAGGGTATTGAGGAATCTGAGGGTATTGAGGAATCTGAGGGTATTGAGGAATCTGAGGGTATTGAGGAATCTGAGGGTATTGAGGAATCTGAGGGTATTGAGGAATCTGAGGGTATTGAGGATTCTGAGGGTATTGAAGAATCTGAGGGTATTGAAGAATCTGAGGGTATTGAAGAATCTGAGGGTATTGAGGCATCTGAGGGTATTCAGGAATCTGAGGCAGT